AAAAAAAAAAAAAAAAAAAAAAAAAAAAAAAAAACTGGAGAAGGGAGCAGGAGCGAACCCCAGGAAACCTTCACAATAACTCACAGACCTGGAGAAAGCAAAGCCTCAAGGACTCCAAGTGGGGGCGTGGCATGATCAGAACTGCTTTAAACCATCGCTCCAGGAGAAAATCAAAGGGGCAAGAGGGGACTAGATTTACACACACATATGATTTACACACATATGCCACACATGCACAGACCACCTCTCAAAGGTGCCTGCAAACTCAGTAAAGTGGCCGAGCAGGGTAGCTCACACCTGCAATCTCAGCACTTACGGAGGCAGAGGCAGGAGGATCAATTGAGCCCAGGAGTCTGAGACCAGCCTGGGCAACACAGTGAGACCCCATTCCTCACAAAAAAGGAAAAACAATCGGTAAAGTGAATGCCTCAAAGGATGGGCCTAGAAGGCTGAGGGATGAGGAGCTGGGTGGGAGGGAAACTCGCTTTCATGGCATGCCCTTGTTGACTCTTCAGATTGTTCACCATGTGTAGGTATTTCCAGCTAGAAAAGAGTTTAATTAAATGATCACTCCAGCTAACATACAGCAAGTGGACTACAGGGACAGGCAAGAGTATGCATAAGTTTCAGAAAACTATATGGAGAAGGCTGCCTGCCATGTCTCTAAGGGAAAGAAAACTAAAGCGCCACAGTACATTTTAATACATGCTCAGAAAAAAAGGCTGGGCAATTATCCATTAGTCCTAAAGTGATGACAGATGAGCAAGGGGATTACAAATGATTTTAATTGTCTTCTCTCTGATTTCCGGTTTTCCCCATGTTTTCTACATGAACATGTTATAACTTCAAGGAAACAACATTTTTGGAAGGGGGAATGGGCCCACCTTATGCAGACTGGTCATGCCGTCGTCATCCACCACCCTGGGGTTGGACCCATGTGATAGCAGGAGCCGTGCGATTTCAGTGTGCCCGCAGTAGCTGGCTCGGTGCAGAGCAGTGGCACCCCCGTGGGTCTGGGCATCACACTTAGCTCCGTTTTCCAGCAGGAACTGGCACACAGCATAGTGCCCATTGCGGCTGGCATAGTGCTGCAGGGAACAGAGACCGAGATCAGATGGGAGAAGCCAGGCAGGGGACAATGGTGGTGGAGAGGTGAGAGCATGCCCCCACCTGCAGTGAGGGGCCTGGAGTCATCTCAGGTTCCACCCCCAGCAGTCGTGTGACCTGGGCAAGCTTCTGCATGCCTAACCTGAGTTTATTCAACTGAAAAATGGGGAAAATGATCATTCCTATCTCACAGAATTGTTACGAAAATAAAACTAAATCATTGGCTGGGTGCAGTGGCTCACATCTATAATCCCAGCACTTTGGGAAGCTGAGGCAGGTGGATCACCTGAAGTCAGGAGTTCGAGACCAGCCTGGCCAACATGGTGAAAACCCATCTGTACTAAAAATACAAAAATTAGCTGGATGTGGTGGCAAGTACCTGTAGTCCCAGCTACTCGGGAGGCTAAGGCAGGAGAATCGCTTGAACCTGGGAGGCGGAGGTTGCAGTGAGCTGAGATCGCACCACTGTACTCCAACCTGGGTAACAGAGCGAGACTGCATCTCAAAACAAAACAAAACACAACCTAAATCACTGATGTAAAGCTCTCACACTAATTTAAAAAATCCAGGTTCACATGATGCTTAAAAAGAGAAATTTTGCTGGAAGAGAAGAAAGGGAGGGAGGAGGTAAAAGTTAACCATCAATCCCCCTCCTCACAGAGCAGGTGTCTCCTGAGTTAACGCTTCTGTCTCCTGACCCTGTGCTCCTCTTTAGCTCACCAGTGCAGTGTAGCCGGCTGAGTCGGGCTGACTCGGGTCCTCAGCCTTCTGGATTAAATGCTTCACTCGGCCCAGGTCTCCATTCAGGGCTGCCGACCAGATTCCTGCAGAAAGTCAACCAAAGGACCGAATGATGCTGATGACTGGGAGTTTCAGTGCTTGCTCTGCCTCGTGACCTCAGTTTTCTTGTCTATAAAGTGAAGAATATTCATCCCTTCAACAAATACCAACCGAGCACCTCCTCTGTGTTGAGGTTTGTTCTGAATGCTGGTGACTTAGCTGTGAACAAGACAGACAGGGGCACGTCTCATGAGGACAGTAGAACTGGGTGGACACAGACATCTCCATCCCACTTCTAACACAGCAGTGCTGGATGAAGTAATGTTTAAAATGTTTGGATCTAGAGTGAAATTCAGGTCGGGCTGGGATTACAGGCACCCACCACCATGCCCAGCTAA